TTCACGTTGTCTGCTCGATGTACCCCAATCGTGAAAGGGCCTTACAACAAATTTCTGCTTTTAATGATTTCCTGAGGTCATAAAGTCAACTGGAAGACTACTTACTTGTGATTCAAATTTCGAAATACATTAGGAGTAGAATAACGATATTGTTTGATCTCTTGATTCGCTCTTCATTGTTCTTCGTCGGATTTTCCTTTTTTGCAATTGCGGTACGATTTTCTTATGGGAAACTCATCTACAACATAATTTTTATTAAGCACACTAATTTGACAATGAATTTCATGAAGTTTATGCATTTGGAGTGTTGAAAAAGATATACCAAGAACGTAATCCTGGTATAATCAGAATCCACAAATCAAAATAAGCTAATCGAAACTGGAAAAGTTGTTTACATTAACAAACCGAATATTTCTAGCTTTTATATTTTTGTAGCGCAAGTCAACGCCTTATATGGGAATATTTTTAGAAACGTTCTCTCTCCAGTGCACAGATGTGTAAATTTTTTATTTCTGTATTTCTAATGACACGCTAAAAAATATCAACGATTAATCGTATGCTCAACGGGTTTTGGCCAAATCGGCGGTAATTAAATGCTAATGACCGCGAAGTATCTATTATTTTAAGCGGTATATTAGGAAGTCATTATCTTTTTTAATTCGTTGTAACACATGTTTGTTATCTGTTTGTTCCTCCAGTCTCGGTTGGAAGAATACATTCTTCCAGAAATCTAGTCTGATTTTAAAATAGAAGCGCCTTACAAGATATCTATTTTAATTTGGTATCTCCCAAATAGGTGACCCGCAGAAAAGCTTTAGCAGAATTAAAAATATATGTGAATGTCGCGTCAAATTTTTTGTTGCCTCAAATTTCGTTTAATACAGAATGGAATACTTTTTTTTTCGAGCGACAAAATATATTGATTAGATCAAAAGTTATAGACAGAAGGAGTTTATTTATGACTTTTGAATTAAAAATTTATAAACTGCGTTATTATTACCAGAACGTTTTGGCATCGCATCCTCTCATTCCTTATCACTGTCTAATAACTCACACGAAATCTGGAATCGGTAAGTTGAATAGTTTACATGGCCTTATAAACAAATTAAATAATTTTTGGTCTCGATGATCCCGAGCATCTTCCACAATCGCACTGATTTTTTTCATGGTAGATTTCATAATAATACATTGAAATCTATCATTTTTTTTAATTTCAAATTTGCAACCGGGAAATGTTTCTTTTTGGTTTTTAGCCTTAGTTGCAAAATTAAATATACGACGCACGAGCGTGATATAGTTATATATTATTACATATTCCGAAATCTTATGAAAAGAGCTTTAAGTTATTAAAAAATCGTCAAGATTCGTTGAAAAACAACGGAGTTACAGACTGTCAAATGTCATGTCATGTCATTATTATTTTCAGGCGAATTTCGCTTTTTTACCGGCAGGATTATGAATATTTCGTCTATTTCTTCGGACTCGCTGGCGTTCGCTTCCCCCACCCTTCCGCCGCGCTACGGCTCACCGAAAAATCAAGCGACCTACTGACTTTTGACAATATTTCTTATACACTTAACATACTTCCACTAATAAAATACTTTTATCTGGGAATCTACTTGGGTTGCCGGTTATGACAGTATTTTTTTTGCCGCTACCAACCTGATTTATTTAACAATAGGCCGTCAACTTTGACAGTCTGTAACTCCATTGTTTTTCAACGAATCTCAACGATTTTAACTTAAAACCCTTTTCTTTCCGAATACGTAATAATATATAACCATATCAAGCGCGTGTGTCGTATATTTCATTTTGCAACTAAGGCTAAAAAATAAAAAACTACCATGAAAAAAACCAGTGCGATTGTGGAAGATGCTCGAGATCGTCCAGATTAATAATTAGTTAATTTGTTTATTAGGCCATAACTTGCAAACTATTCAACTTACCGATTCCAGATTTCGTGTGAGTTATTAGACAGTGATAAGGAATGAGAGGATGCGACGCCAAAACGTTCTGGTAATAATAACGCAGTTTATAAATGTTTAATTCAAAAGCCATAAATTAACTTCTTCTGTTTATAACTTTTGATCTAATCAATATTTTTTGACGCTCGAGGGCTAGTTTTGTAGGT